TTCTAAGTCTAATATTTAGGGAATACTATAAAATGCTTATTTAAATCTTTCTTTTTATCACCAAAAGATTAGAAGATTGTCATAGCAAATATATTAAAATAATTCAGTGAAGGGAGCTGAAGGCAGCCCCTTCCATCCAGAAGCAGGCGAAAGAGCAGGCCCAGGGGTCCAGGCAGGAAACAAGGACAGTTTTCTCCTCCCAGAAGCAGGAAAGAGAGCAGGCCTGGGGGGCCAGGCAGGAGTCAAAGGCAGCCCCCACTGCCCAGAAGCAGACAAGAGAACATGCCCACTGTCCTAGGCAGGAGCCAAGGGCAGTCCCCTCCACCTGGAAGCAGGCAAGAGAAAATGCTGAAAATACCACTTCTGAGTGGGTGGTCCATCACAACCATTGCCACAGTCATGGCTGCTGAAAACATGGCTCAACACCAGGGCAGCTTGCTGTCACAGCAGTAGCCACAGCCATCGTGCAGGAGGCCCACCAGACACTCAACTGCACTGATACACAGAGAGTCACCAGCAGAGACCAGAAAAAGAAGAGGACATCTCTCTCCTGAAAGCCCACTCCAAAATAATAGAAGAAGCAACTGCTCTACCAGATGACCAGACATCAACGTGAAGATATTAGAAATACAAAAACCCAAGAAAACATGACACCACCAAAAGAATACATTAAAAAAATACAATAGTTTTCAAATACCAGACCCTATAGAGTAGGAAGCCTTTGAAATGACTGAAAAGGAATTCCAAGCAACAATCTTAAGGAAACTCACTGAGATACAAGAAGACTCAGTTAGACAACATAATGAAATGAGAAAAAAAAAAAAAATCCAGGATATGAAGGAGGATATTTACAAAGAGATTAATACCTTAAAAAAGAATGTAGCAGAACTCATGGAACTGGAAGATTCAATCAACAAAATAAAAACCACAACTGATAGCTTAAGCAGCAGGCTAGAACAAGCAGAAGAAAGAATATCTGATCTTGAAGGTAGTCTTTTCAAAATAACCCAGGCAGACAGAAAAAAAATGAAAAAATAATTCAAAAAATGAAGAAAACCTAAGAGAACTAGCAGACAACCTTAAGCACACAAACATTTGAATCNTTCTAAGTCTAATATTTAGGGAATACTATAAAATGCTTATTTAAATCTTTCTTTTTATCACGAAAAGATTGTCATAGCAAATATATTAAAATAATTCAGTGAAGGGAGCTGAAGGCAGCCCCTTCCATCCAGAAGCAGGCAAAAGAGCAGGCCCAGGGGCCCAGGCAGGAAACAAGGACAGTCTTCTCCTCCCAGAAGCAGGAAAGAGAGCAGGCCTAGGGGCCGGCCCGGTGGCGCACTGCTACAGTGCGCCG